TATTCATAAAAAAGGCTAACAGTATCTTCAAAAATAACAGCACACCTGCAAATTCAAAACTACAAAGAACCAATATTATTTACAAGTTCAAATACCCCTTGAGGAACTGTGTTCCTGATTAAACCAAACTCATAAATAATTACATTGGTTATACTACTGTATACCTATCCAGACGACTTACATTACACCTATCTGACCACTGCTCCATTAGAATTCATTTAAACACACACACAAACCTACCAGACTCCATCTGAAACATACTAGTAGAAAATACAAACATAATAATCTCATCCACATGTAAAAAAAAGATTAAAAATAATGGAAGCCCTAATAATATAAAAGAAAAAGCCAACACTCAATAAAATTAACTATGAACATGGCCACAATGTGCTGATCATGTTTGGAAAATAAAACATCCCTCTAACTCTAGATAAATACACACAACCCATGCATTTAAATAAAAAGTAAAAATAAATTCATCCTTCATAATGACTAAAAGTATAGCCAAAAGTGTTCAGACATGAAGAATATTTGAACAGTTTTCACACATTTTGTGTCCAGAACAGAAAACACTTGAAGAACAGGCACAAGAAAAATTAAATAAAATGCTTAATCACAGTACCTTATCAGTCATCTTTAATGAAATATGTATAAAAGAGGGATTGCTGCCTAAATACACAATACACACACACATATATATATGTAAAAATATAGATACACACACATACACATATATATGTACAAATACACACACACACATATGTACAAATATAGATACACACATATATACATATACACGCACATACGTACAAATATAGATACACACATATATACATATACACGCACATACGTACAAATATAGATACACACACACACATACGTACAAATATAGATACACACATACACACACACATACGTACAAATATAGATACACACACACACACATACGTACAAATATAGATACACACATATATACACACACACACATATGTACAAATATAGATACACATATATATACACATATACACACACACGTACATATATAGATACACACATATATACACATATACACACACACGTACATATATAGATACACACATATATACACATATACACGCACACACATACGTACATATATAGATACACACATATATACACACACACATACATACATATATATACACACACACATACATATACACACACATATCTAGCTCTCTCTCTCTCATATATATATATATATATATATATATATATATATATATAACATTGAAAGTAGATATGTATTTACATGTATGGATATATTCATGACTGTGTTTCCTCCTACTTGGAAAGTAAAAATACAGAGTGGTTTCTATGGAGACAGTGATGTTGTGTCTTTTTTTCTTAATTTTATCCTGTTTGTATTTATATCAGGAACAACTTCCAATAAGTGCACAAATAATAATAAATATATAGAAGCTAAGTATGTAAATAAAAAGCTAAGGGACCTAAAGAGAAAGAGAAAAAGAAAAAAAAGTGAAAAAAAAAAAAAAATGACTATACTGGGTTGTTCAAATTTTTACAATTTTATAAGTAATAATAAAATGTCTTTTTTTGCTTATTTTCAGCATTAACTTTTTGGAACAACATATTTACTGTTTTGTTCCACTCACTTCTACCATCTTTCAAACAACTTCATAATTCCATCCTCCTAGAATATTTTCATCATTCTCAGCTTAGAATTGTTGATAGTGCCGACTTCCTCGGAACTGATATTTATTTTTTTCATGAGGAGAATTTTGCGAAAACTGGAATTTAAGATACCATAACTGGTGAATACAGCAGAGGAATCCTGACTACATCACCAATTTTAAGTAAACTGACATGTCTACTGCCATAATATCGTCAAAAGTGATTTTTATTAAGATGAAGTTAATTAATAAAGCTAAAAGCTTGTAATGTCTTTAAACAACAAAAACAGAACAAATTACTGGTGTGAGTGGTGACTCATTTCTCATTGTCTCACAATCTCTTGCATTTCACATTGTTGTAAACTATCAACTTTGCATCAGCCATGAGAATTTATTAAAAAAAAAAAATCAAATGTTTTCAAATGGTTAGATTATCAATACAAAAATATGTGGTCCAGAAGGTTTTTTTTTTTTTTACTTAAACATTTCTTATTGAATATCATGTTAACCACACAAATTCTAGGTTTTAAAGAAGACTATACTTCATTATATCACATAGACTGGCGCTACACAATCATAAATAAAGAACTTTGCCAAATAACAAAACTCAGATCAAATGAAGACTTTCAACAGATGAAACAACTAAAACGGATCAGTCAGTCAGTTAAGTGCCATACATGATACGCTTGGGTGATCACATCTCCTCTGATTCATGACTGACTATGCAGAAGATTTTCCTAGAGTAGGTTGCCATTTCTTTCTGCGATAGACTGTGTTAATCTTTACAAGTTGCTCTCCTTGGCAACTCAGAAAAGGGACGGCTTACCCAGAAGGGGCTGAACAGTCATTTTTATATAGGACACACACGTAGAGAACGAAGTAATCCCAATAAAGCATTCTCTTTCTATCACATGTCTCAGTGTTCCTTTAATTTATATTTACATTGGTAGCAAACCACAGCAATCAACACAATGGCTTCCAAATTTATTCTCTGCCTATTTTAAACACAGATAAATACAACACTTGGAAAAAAGAAATGCAAAATTGGGAACTGGCTATCTGCCTCGACACATCTCACTGCACACCTATAGTATTTTTATCCCTGGAAAGAAAAGCCAGAGAGGCCATATTGGAACTGGATATTACCACATTATATGACAATGATAGAATGAAAAAATTATATGGAATATTATATTGGATACACTCTTTTTGACTGGCTGCCAACAAAGGTTATAGTACTCACCCTGTGCTGCTATTCAATCAATAGCTCAGTCAGTCAGTTATGTGCCATGCATGAAACATGCTTAGGTGATTATGTATCATTTGATACATGACTGACGAGGCAGATTTTTTCCTGTAGTAGATTGACATTTCTTTCTGCAGTAGACCAGTTGCCATCCAAGGCTATAGAACCCGGTTTGTACTGCTATTTATTTATACCTTTCCCAAGGGTATTAGCACATAAGTGAATGTAATGGATTCGAATGGAATTCAAACTTGGCTCTCCGATTCCTCAATCCAAGCCTCTATTCATTACTCCACCGTGCCTCCTTAAATTCAAGCTTATAGAACCTGGTCTGTCATGCTATTTTCCCATAGCTGGGGGGAGAAGAAGAAGATTTATACCTTTCCCAAGGATATTAGCAAGTAAGGGAATGTAATGGATTCAACTGGAATTCAAACTCAGCTTCCCGATTCCTCAATCTGAGCCGCTATCCATTACACCACTGTGCCTCCTTAAATCCAAGGCTATAGAATCCGGTCTGTTCTGCTATTTACCCATAGCTGGGGGAAGAAAAGTTGGATTCATACCTTTTCCCAAGGGTGCATAAGTGAATATAATAAAACCGACTGGGATTTGAACTTTGCTCTTTGATTTCTCTTTCCGAGCCAATGTCCATAACACCACCATCCCTCTATATCTAAAATGGATAGCATATTTAATTAGTAAAGAAAATAGTGATATAATCAAGATGTTCACTTCTTACAACTCCCTTAAACAAAAAGGTTAGGAGACTTACAGCCATATAGCATTGAAACACCAGTTCCCATACAATCATAAAGTTAAGCAACATCGAGCCTACTCAGTAATTAGATGGATAACTACTTGGGAATACTATGTGCTTTAAGCTTAGATGTGTGGGTGGTGTAATAGATAATGGCTCAAAATTGTTAATTGAAGAGCTGAGTTCTAGTTTCAGTTGGATTTGTTATATTCACTAATGTGCAAATACCCTTAGGAAAGGTATGAATCTACCTCATCTCCCCCAGCTATAGGTTAATTAGTAAAACTTGTACCACTAAACCATTATTATTTAAACCAAACATTTTTACAATCTAAAAATATTTTCAGGCTTTAAATAACCTGCAAAGCGTTGATAAGCCATAGAAAATCAATCAATCAAAAAAGAAAAAAAAAGAGGTTAAGAACAAAACTCTCATCAATGCTAGAAAGTTAGTGGACTTGAGAAACCTATTTTTCTGAAAACTGTTTTAAGATTTTATAAATTTCAACCAACAGCTATGCTGTTTTGTTAATGAATGCCAAATGAAATATTCAGCATTCATTGACAAAACTCAGTTAAAATTTATAAAATCTTTCCTAGTATGGAATCAGCTAATCTCACCACTATATATCAAAAATGTTGTTTATATTCTGCTATATTTAATATTAGCATCAATGGTAATCAAAAAAGTATCCATTGACACACAGGAAACATTTGGCATTCATTGACTGCACAGTTAGTGTTACTGTTAGTTGAAATTTTTACATTTTTTTTTATTGTAACATTATTTCAGGAAATTAAACTTCTCTAGTCCAGTAAACATTATAGCTCTTTCTAATGCTGATAGGAGTTTCCTTTAATATTTTTGCTTTTAACTGTTTCAAAAGTTAACAGCATCATTAATTTCTCTTTAAGTTACATGTGATAACAAACTTTTGCTGTTGACGAAATAAATCAAAATATGCTCCCCCCCCCAACCAAAAAAAAAAATTCTGACTGATTTGATAGATGCCATGAGATAATAAAAAGTGGCCTTTTTTTTAACGCAATCAACAACTAAACACTACTAATGCCATTTAACAATAAAAAAAACAAAACAGAATGAACTTTTGGACCAGCCCAATATTTGCTTTTCACCTTTGAATGTCACAAGATTTTGAAAAGAGCTACTATTCATGTCTCCATCACCACCACCACATACACCACTGCTGTCAACCTATTGAAATAATTACATGGCTCTTTGATATGCAATGCATGATTATTTCTTTACAAGCAGTATTTGGAAGGTGAGGCCTTAAAAGCAATGCAGGAAATCATTCCATTACTTTGTTAGTGCTGGCAGATCAACAACTTGGGGAAAAAGAAGAAGAAAGAGAAAGGAAGAAAAAGAAGAAAAGAAAGGAAAAGGAAAAAGAGAAAGGAAGATAAAGAAAAACAAAGGAGAAAAAAGGAAAAGGGGAAAATAAAGTAGAAAAGGAAGATAAAGGAGAAGAAAGAAAGAAAGAAGAGAACGAAGGAGAAAGAAAGAAAGAAGAGAACGAAGGAGAAAGAAAGAAAGAAGAGAACGAAGGAGAAAGAAAGAAAGAAGAGAACGAAGGAGAAAGAAAGAAAAAAGAGAACGAAGGAGAAAGAAAGAGAAAGGAGAGAAAGAAAGAGAAAGGAGAGAAAGAAAGAGAAAGGAGAGAAAGAAAGAGAAAGGAGAGAAAGAAAGAGAAACAAAAAGGAGAAAAAAGAAAAAGGGAAAGGGGAAAATAAAGTAGAAAAGGAAGATAAAGGAGAAGAAAGAAAGAAAGAAAGAAAGAAAGAAAGAAAGAAAGAAAGGAGAAAGAAAGAGAGAGGAAAAAGGAGAGGAAGAAGGAGAAAAAAGGAGAAAGGAGAGGAAAAAGGAGAGGAAGAAGGGAAACAAAAATAAAGGAGAAAGGAAGAAAAAGAAAAAAGAAAAGAAGAAAGACAATATTTTCATAGGTGCAGTTCGATTGTGATGAAGGGTTAGGGAGAAAAGTGTGTTCTGAAGTAATAGTTGAAAATAACAAGCTTGTACAAGTAGCATGGTTTCAGTCATTGTCATAGAGAGGCAAAAAAACACACACACAAAAAAAAAAATCACTTGTTGGCACCTTCCTTGCAATATTCTGTGTCAATTGCTCTTTTTTAAAGATTGTCACGCGCTATGTTACACAAGTGATTCTACCTCCATTTTGTCACTTATTTCCATGTTAGGTTCAAAGATTAGGTCATGAGAATTATGAGGAATGAAGCTTTTCAATTGACTTAAGCATCTCTTTAAGAGAGAAATCGGCAAGTAGAAATAATTCATGAAGGAGTCAAATTTGGTCACATTTGCAAAGAGAATCTTTGCTTTTATGTTTCAAAAGATAAAAAAAAAGCAATTTTTAAAATGACAAAGACTGCTAATTCACAACAGGATGGACAAAGTGTGTTTGGCTGCGCTAACCATTTTCATTAGAAAATAGAATTACCATATTTTATTAATAGCAAGCAGAAGAATCACGTTGGTAATGGAGCCTTTGCATTGTTCTCTTTCATTTATTCTATATGCTGTGTCTCTTCAGAACATAGCTGTTCATGGATCTCCACAACTTCTTATCCATTCTAGCTCTTAGTAATGTTTATCTTTGACCATCTCTCCCACCCTTCATTTTGCCATCCATTTACACAAGCTTGTCAGGTAGGTGGCCTGCTGCTTTCCCCTGTCCCCTTTGATATTCATTGTGAGTGTCAAATTCTCCCAGTCCTTCTTCCTCATTATGTGCCCTAGAAATTCTGTATGTAAATATCCTTTTTGTTGTTTTGCTTCAATTTTCCTAGAGACTTCTTTGTTGCTTACTTGTTTCATACATAGAATTCTCAGCATCCTGCTGTATAACCACATTTTTGTTGTTTGGGTTTTCTCTTCACCTGCGAGGAGATTGCCCATCATTCCTAGTTATATAGGAAGATTGATATTACATAGTTCTTTCACTGCTATTTCAGATAATATGAACTAAAAATGTGGATCAATAAGTTCATACCCTGTCACATTTACTAGTTGAATTCTGATTTGAAATTCTAACTGCATAATGCTTGATGGAATTAATAGAAGAGTGTTGGATTAAGTGTGTGGATAAGGGAGGAGATTGTTCTGTCTAAAATACTTATTGATATACACAGATATAGATGAAGGAAATAAATATATAATAAATATATAAGTCTGAATGTAAATAAATTTAAAGAGTTGATTGGAAAAATGCAAATTATGATATAGAGTAAAAGGTAATCCCCTTCACATAAGCGGCTTAAAATAAACAGTCATTTTGTCTTTAAATATTTTTCATTGTAAATATAAGCCTTGATTGATGGCACCATGGCCATTGTATACTTGGTGGCATTGAGTAGGGTTCATGAAAGTGTTTCTTAGTTGAGGTGCAGGATAGGCTAGCATAAATTATGAAAGTGGGGATAGTGTGGTATATTCAGCCTGGAAACCATATTGTTTCAAATGGCTTGGCTGCTGATGCTGAAATCGAGAAAGTCAACCATGGGATAAACTTTCATGATGTCATTATTCATCAGCAGAATTTTGTGGATCCTGATGATGACAAAATCCATACTCGAAACAAGGAAATTTGTTTTAGTGACAACCATATATTGTTTTCTTAAAATTGGTTAGTCCTTTCCTCTTGCTTTCTTTTATTAAGTTGTCTAAAAGATCCTGCAGTTTCCTTTGCATCTGCCATCAGTAATCCTTCTTTTAAATAGCTTAAAATAAATTATCATTTTATATCATTAAATGTTTTTTCATTATAAATATTACCTTGGTCAATGGCACCCTGACCAATGAATATTCGGTTTGTGAAAGTGTTTCTTAGTTGAGGTGCAGGATGGCCAAGCAGAGATTCTGAAAGAGGGGATTGTGCAGTATATTCAGCTTGGAAGCCATATTGATTCAGATGGCTGGAATGCTTATGTTGGAATTGAGGAAATCAACCACAGATTAAACTCTCATGATGCTGTTATTCAGTAGCTGCATTTTGTAGATCTTGTAGTACAAGAATAGTCCTGTATTTTCAGTATTTATTTGTTGCGTAGTCTTCCATTATCCACTGTAATAATGTTTAATTGTAATACATGTATATACATCTGTAATTGGAGAGAGCTATGGTAGAAAGATTTATTCTCCCATTTGTATTTCCCCCTTTATGGGCATTATTATACCCTTGATATAATAACACCATACTTTATGGAATGACTGAAAAGAAAAAGAATGACAAACAAGCTTTGTTCTTAGAGAGACTTTTATACTACGAAGACATACACAAAACTATATACATGTGTGTATCCCATATGTGATAATATCACATATATCTACACAGGTGTCTGGAAAAGCCATGTTTAGGACTCCAGATTCAAATGGGCCAGATTCATCTATGTCCCAGGTGGGGTCATATTCCACAAATGGGGAAACAGCGAGTCTTGGGTTTTCCCAAATTGAGGACTGCAGGCTGAGTTTCATTCTTTATCTGGATAAGATATATTCCCAAAGTGAAATGGCACCATGGACTTGTAAGCTGCTGGGGGAGGCAGATTTAGCCTCTGTCTGGGCCTTTTTTTTATGTGTAAAATTGAGACACATTTTTATGCAACATGAAAATGGTGGTGCCATTTTTATTTCTTGTTATTTTTTGTTTGTCAAATTTCTACAACTTTTAATTTTCATAATTACAGAACAGTGCTTGAATAGCGATTACAGCATTGAAACCATTTGGTATTAAACGGAATTTTTTTTTTTTTTGAAAGTGACTGGATATAAATTAATGGCAAAATTTTATTTTTTCTCAAGCATTTCCTTTTATGGTCCTCCTCATCACCTACTGTTCCCTATCATCTTCAGAGATGACGGCTTTACAAAATTGTAGCCTTTAAATAACAACACAAAGGATTTGCTTTCATTTATTCTGCTGCTTATTATATTTGTGTGGAAAGCATGGCAAAGATGAAACAAAACAAAAACTAATGTTGACATTTCAGACTAATACAATGATATCAAATAGTGACCATATTGACTCATCTGTTAATTAATCTGGCTTGTGCATTAGCTTATGTGGTCTGGGAAATTATTTATTAAATGTTTGTTTCAAAATTCCATATCCTTGTTTTACCAAGTCTAGTATTGCTGTGTAAATATTGAGTCAAAGTATAATTCCTGGCAAAAAAGGGAATGAAAAGTAACTGGAGCCAGTGTATAATTTTTGAGAAGGGGATGAAAAGTAATTGGAGCCAATGTATAATTCTTGATAAGAATGGGATGAAAAGTAATTGGGGCCAATGTATAATTCCTGATAAGAATGGGATGAAAAGTAATTGGAGCCAATGTATAATTCTTGAAAAGAAGGGGGGTGAAAAATAATTGGAACCAATGTATAATTCCTCATTTCACTTTGTTCATGGACACATGGCTGTGAATTTCATCAAGGGAACTTTCTGGCCTGGCCATTGATTTTACTCTAGACTGCCATCCACCCAACAATGCAGTGTCATTATTGCACTGGCTGAGTATATAGCTATGGAGCCCAAATCTGATTTAGTGTATTGATTTTTATAAAAGTATTTTTTAGTAGCATTCTTATATTATTTAAATCTACTGTTCTCATTTTGGTTGATATAGATGTTATAGATACAACATTTTGACTAAGTACTGTCTGGTCATCATTTGTTAATGACCAGAGGGTACTGAGTCTATAATAACATCTATATCAACCAAGATGGAAACAATAGTTTGAAATAATACAAGAATATTAACAATTACTAATCTCGGAAATTAAATAGTACATTTTTAGTTGTAGTTTTGATTTTGTGCTTAGTGTGCCAAATAACATGAACAGAACTCCAATATATAGGTCTTTTAATTAATAATCAAATATCAGCCCTGATTCTGCACTCAGTTAAAGGCCAACTCGTACAGATTTACGATTGAATTACCAGTAAACCCACTGTAGCCGCCCATAATATAGATATTATTGTTTATTTCTCCAGAATCTTTGTGGAGCACAGGGATGTAACCAGATCAAGCAATGCTGCTAGTGTTTCAATAACATTTTCACAGGAACGAGTGCAAGCCCAAAATGAGCTGCCTTAACAGGAATAAAGGCTTACAACTGCCCTACTATTTAGTCACTAGTTTACCAATGCTGTCCAAAATGACACTATGTTTTGTTAAGTCATTACTATTACAGGTTTTTTTATTATGTCTTTATTATTATAGGCAAGTCTTGATTTTTTTATTCTGTTATTATCATGTGGTCATACAATTGCGTCCTGCAATCCCTACTTTTTAATCTTTTCTAGATGACCCTTTCTATATATTTTTCATATGAATAGTCCTTCGTTGTTACAGGATAGTACCATATGGCATCGCTAGTGCAAGACTAATCTCCCTTGCACTAACAACATGAAAAGTTATACACAAAAAAACAGAAAATTGCACTTGGCAAATTAAACAGTAATATAACTTATAGGAAGGAAGAAATAGATTCATGCCTTTCCCAAATTAAATGAAAGCAAACTATCCCAGTTAGAGTTGCACTTGGTCACTCATCAATTCAGTCACACCTCCTAATACAAATATAACTGGATATTATAGCACCCTTCTTCTCAATCCACTATATAATACAGGTTGTTTTACCAAGATCTGTCAGAGAGAATAATAGGCCTTTACCAGATTGACACATGATTTGATAGCAAGGAAGTTAAATTCAGAGTTGTCCTTCTGATTAGACCCCATTCCAGATTATGGAGTACAGTCTATTTTACTAGTTAACCAATAGATACAGAGCAGAAAAGATAGAGCCATGCCTTTTCCAAGGGTGTTAGTGTGGAGTAAAGGTAACAATCTTGGCTGGTATTTGAACATAGCCTGTTGATTTCCATTCTGCACTGTTAACTATTATGCCATAATCACATCCT